TTCTCATGGGCTGCACCAAGGGACAAACCGTGCATCACCATGAATCTTCACCACGCTGCAGGGGAAATTCCAGGGGTGCCTCTTTCCTCTTGCTTCTTTTCTCTGACTGGCATGTCTGCATAGTTGTCTCTCTCAGAGCTACTTCTCCCCTCCGCCACAGGTCCTTCATCGGCTCCCGAGGAAACTGACTCTCGGGCGAGCCATGGCAGAGGCTTGGGCTACAGTAGGTCGGTTCGCAGAAGCTGGGCAGGCAGCTGGACAGCTGGGCTGGTTTGTCCAGGCCGGTGCACCCCTGCCCAGGGCCGCACCCATCCCCATGTTCCCTGCCGCCTCTTAAATATGGTATTCGTAGAGGCACCGACTGGCTCAGCCCTGGCCTGGGGTGGGTTCAGACTGAAGATGGGGAAACTTCCAGCAGTTTCTCACAGGGGCTAGATCGGTGGTACTCCTTCCCCCACCTTACCTGCCCCCCTCCCCAGGCTACTAAAACCTTTGGAGCCAGGGATGGGGGTGAACCCTTAGCAGTCACTTACAGGAGCCACCACTGCAGCCCCTCTCTTGCTGCCAGCAGAGCTGGAGTCCAGGGAAACCTTTAGCAGCTACTTACAGGAGCCATTACTGTGGCCCCTCCCTGCTTCCAAACAAACCCACCACACAAAACCACAACACAACTTTATTTCTAAAATTTTTCCATGTTGCAAAAGGACGGAAACTATTAAAAGCTCTGAATTTCTTGCTGTAGTGGTGAGTGAATGAGCTCAGTAGTCCAGCTTTCCATGTTGCCTGTGCCCATCCCTCATTGTTGGTCCATTGGGCAGGAAGGAAGTGCCTGGGTTCAGTTCTTGGCATTCTGTAAAGCTTCTATGAGAGCTTTGTTATGCTCTGTGACCAGCTTTCTTGCATTCCTCATTATTGGCTGGTAGTCACTCTCCTGACTTTTTGTTGCTATAACTGATTAAAAGAATTAAGGAAACAAACTTCCAGTATTAGCATAATTAGAGTTCATAAGGGAACCACAATATATTAAGTTTCCTTCAGTGAAAATTGTGAAGGATTGCAAATAATGGAAAAAACTCAAATTGTGTCTAAAAGTTTTATACCAATTTATTAGCTGCCATCTCATGCCAAGCATGGCAAAAACCCAAGAGATTACATCCCTGAGCCAGTTTTGTTCTTATATATATATGCAATAGGTCCCTCTGGAAGACTACCCATTGCTACATTGCAGACAAAACTATTTCAAGGCACTCAGCTATTCACAGCCATACAGTTTGGCACTTTAGAACTCTGGCTACAAAAGTCCCAGTCGAAGAAAAAAAGAATGTCATTTCCACTAGCTCAAGCAGACATAAAACTCTGTGTCAGGGTCTGCACTTGGATAGATAATACATTGTAGCAAGGTAGGAGGCATTTTAATATCCTCATCAACTTTTCCTCTTGGTTTGTTTGAAAGTTTTTTCTGTTAGAAAAAATAGTATCTAAGATTCTTACCTTAATGAAATATTCCTGGAGAGTCTTCTTCATAGAGGAGGTGGCTCCAATTACATTATGTTGTTCAAAACATTTTTCACATTATTTTTTCTAAGAATTAGAGCACTTATCAGATACAAGAAATGGGATATTTGGTATACGAAAAAGATAACGCTATGTGCAGTTCCTATATAATTTTTATTTTCCTTGATGGCTAGGCTGTTACAGAATTGCTTGAAATATATTCTTGTGCCATTTTCTGAGATACATAGCAATGTCCATTGTCCCATACACAGCACTGCACGATAAGGTTTTGCTGTTACTTTTACCACTTACACTTGTACTATAATCATATAAGTGATTCCATACATCTTTTTTTTCAGATTTTTTGTTTCCAAAATAATTTTAAAGAAGTGAATTTATTGCAGAGAATTCAAAGTCCTGATAATATAAAATAAAAGTGCAACTATGCCCTACTCGTATCTCTACAATAAAGTACAATATAAGAAGAGCCATCAATTCTAATTAAAAAAAACCTCAGTGCTTTTGCTAATTTAAAAAATGACCTTATGAAAGTCACTTACAGCAAATAAGATTTTGCTGATGTTTTGGAAGTTCTTATAAGATTAGTGGAATGTAACTCTTTAATTAGCAATACATAATGAGAGAGCTACAGTGCAGTTCCCCCATCCCAGCCCATTTTGCAGCTAAAGCATCTCCTTGTCACATCTTACCACATTTATCTATTTTTTTCCCCTCTAATAATAATATGCAATTCCTCTTTTATTTGATAAGAAATACATTAAATGCGCACAATTTCTTGCTCACTTTTTAATCATTGATATTTATGGTGTTTTAAAACTGCAAAATACCATGAAAAGTCACCGTGCTCTACAGATTTTCAAACAATGCTACTCTTGCTGGATTATTTCAGATGAGGTTGGACAGATGTGAAGATCTTTGTATGAAACTAACGGCAAAAATGACCCAACAGGAAAAACTCCAGACTGCAAGGTAAATCTTATTTATCCTTTAGGACACTGTGAAATTGTTTCAGACAACATATGCAAGTTTTGCTACATATAATATCTATCAGATAACCAGACACCTGCAAAGCACTGCATTCCCCTCCTCCCCTGTCTCCTGCTCCCCACTCTGTCCTGTCTAATTCTGCTGGAGGAAACAGACTTCTTCCTCAATTAATACAGTGTGTGAATTTTACTGTACTTCTTAAAGAAAAGGATACATTCCTTCATCATAAAGTTATTTTGCTCAAGGTGCTGCCATTTCCTCTCCAAATTTGTAAGCTGAAAACACAAAAAGAGCCAAAAATGTAAACAATAATTATTAGACATGTACTTTATACAAAGACTCTCAAAAAAATGTTATATCTATGCCTTCTATTCTATCACCTGATAAGATCAAAGTTGCTTCACAAAAAACCCACAGAAATGAGAAACAACGGCAAAATTATTTTTAAAGATGTCACTGATTAACCTGTATATAATCTAGTACATCATACATCTATTTATATAAAAGCACTTCATGCAACTGCAGTGGTAGATGGAAAAAATCAGATGAGAATTCTAGATGTGTTGTATAGGGAAATGAATGTAAGTCAGAAATAAAAAGGTGAGCACAGGAAGATACTAATTCTCATTATACTTCATGTCATTTAAATGATCTCTTCTTAAAATCAGTAAGATCTAAAATCACCAAAGATACAATATTTCCTGACACTGTCTCGGACTTCGAGCTATACAGAAGAAGCTTCCTTATTTCCATAGTTAAGTTTCCTGTCTGATGCCAGAAGTTGTGATAAGAACAGAGCTGCAGTGAGAAGATTGCAGGAGTGTGGGTTAAGTGCTGGCACTTCTTCAATACTTTCAGCATCAACAGGAAACTAGTGTGGACATTATATTGATGGCTGCTTCCTTACAATACAATTTTATAATATTTGTTTTTATGATGCTACTGTTCAGGGTTCTGCATTTCACGATATGCAGATGTTATTTTTAAATGCAAAAACTGAAAATCATTCTGAGACTTCTGAGACTAAACTTTCAGTGGAAACTTAGGTAATAAATTAGGAAAATATTGCAACATTTTACTTAAAAGCTTATTAAAGAAGATACGAAAATATTTGCTGTATTACTCGAATCTTACAGTGAAGATTTAGTTATCTAGTGTACTGGTTCACAGCAAACATGGTAGTAATTTATTTCCAAGGTATGAGATTTCTGACCAATTGTAATTTTTATTGCCCCCTTTGTAGATGTTGCTCCATGCAATACAGCTGGTAAAGGAGCCTAGGTTTAAAATACTGTCTGTTAGGTCCCAAAGGAAGTATTCAGTGCATTTTTATAGTAACTCCTTGAATGCCTCAACATATACAGTTGACTGCTTGCAAAACCACCCAAAACCCTAAAGATATGCAAATGCTATTTGTGCTTCAAAATACTTGATGCATGTCAACTACTCAGCCATTTTAAGATATGCCTTTATTCACCTTCATGACATTTACACTCCTGAAATAAAAAGCAAAGAAACAAATCCTTTTTGCACATGTTGAAATAGAACTGCTACAGCTTAATGAACTGAAGAAATGCTGGACAACTACTATTTTATATAAAGTTTTTAGCATCACTATGCAAGTATCAGCAGTGGCTGGGTATCAATTTCTGACTTACATAATCTCTAGGAATAAGAGTCTGATCTTGGCATAAAAAATACACGATGTCTGAAGTCTTTGGCATGCATCTTTGGGGATTTATTTCATCACCCTAGAGTCAGCCCACAATGATCACATGCTACAAGTGTATATCTCCTCATTTAGAGCTACGCCCTCTCCTCTGCTCCATAAAGTTCACTCCAGAAGAAAGTTAACTTAAACATGTACAAATATCACCTTCAGCAGTCCTGAAGGACAAAGTTCTCAACAACCTGAAACCATAAAAATCAGTGAAATGCAGAGAAAATAATAAATTTCCATTTTTCAGCTTATTTGGACGTTATCCATTTTCTTTCTGTGCATTCTAACCTATATGCCAGCAAAGTTCTGTTGCCATGACAGCAGTTCATAGGTGTTTATAATGGAAAAATCAAAGCTGCTCAAGAGTTTATAAGTATCTTCTTTCCTGATTCACTTTTGAAATGCAAATGTAAACATACTCATATACCAAAGTTTCTTGGGTTTAAAGAAGTCCAACAAACCCTAAAACTTCAGTGGTCTGCAAGGAGCAGAAGGACTGGAAAAAGGGAAATGGAATTAAAAGTACAGGTTGCAAGAAAAAACTTACCACCATGACTTTAAAAGCAAAAGGGATCTCATCTAATTAATTAGTAGTGACTTTTTTTTCCCCCTGTAGTTTCTTTTTAAGCTGGTCCTCAAATCTCCTCAAGCAAAGGAAGGGCAAAAGTTCTCAGCAAGATTTGTACAAACACTTAAACAAAGGATTCACACAATTTTTAAGCTCAGAAAGACTTCTGCCTAGTAACTTTGAAATCCAAAGCTTACAATAAATTTATTAGCACTATATTAACTTTTGTTTGAAAACAGAAAATATGGCTATGCATTTACAACACATAACTTTGAAAACTCCCTGAGAAGGAATAAACTGATTCCATCCACACAGTGCTTCACGTGTATGAGAAAACTGAAACTGCAACAGAAACAACTGAAGAGAGAACATGTAAGTTAAGCTATACCTGAGAATGTGTCTCATTCTCTTGCAGCTCTTTCTTTAGCATCTCATACTCTGTGTTCAAGTGTTCCATTATTTTCTTGAAAGCACGGCTACGTTTTGTTAATTTTTCTTTGTCATCCTGGAGTCTCTAGTTGGAAAAAAAAAAACAACACAAACTGAGTAATGGGTAAGGTCTCCAAATTATTTTAATTCAACTTTCAAGATGCTACTTTATTTCAGAACAAGATCATCTGCATAAAGAACTCATAAGGCTTTTCTCTAGCAATGCATGCTCTAACCTAAAGATAATATTCAACAGTTATGACCAAGCTGTAGGAAATTTAACATATGTGAAAGGGGAAGTGCTTTAGATCGAGTTTGTTTTAGAGCAAAAACATGCAGGACAGATTTTTCTTTTTTGTTTTGGTTCTTTGGTTAGATTGACAAATTCAAACTTATGGGTAGTCATAAGTTAGAGCAGAAAAGTTCAGATGAATCACTAAAATAAATGTGAAATTTTGTGGAAGGAAGTTATCAAAAGGTATCCAGCTGATAGCCTGCTACATGTACCCAGTTAATAAGTCATGTATATAAGCAGAGAAGCATTTGGATTCATTTGCACTGCTGTGCAAACCTAATTTTCAGCTATCAGTAAGGATTCCCAGTCATAGACCCAGAGTCCCATCCACTAGGTGCTCAAGACCACACAAATTCTGTATAATCCAAGGTTTCATTCCTTTCATTACCTTTTTCTTCTCTTCTCCTGATGCCTTCAGAGCTGGCAAATTATTATAGACCTCCAAATCCGTTTTTGTTTGTTCAATTTTGTCTTTAAGAGAAGCCAGTTCATCAACCATCTTGCCCTCCAAGAGTTCCATCTTCTGCAGGTCCATCTGCAGTTTTTGACTCTCTAGATCACCAGATACACAATCTCTAATTAACAGTACTTTTAATTTCATAATACACGTATAAAGGTTTATGCTATACTTTAGTAAAACAAACAACTCCTGCATATCTTTCTGATTTTGATATTAATGGGAATGTTAATGTGAATAAAAGAAAAAAATTTGATCTTCACAATCAGCCCATAAGTTAGACTCCCATATTACAATCACTGTGTTATACTCCATAAGTGAAGAGTAATGAAAATGTGATTTTCTATATCACAGTGTGGTATTTCTATTCTTAAAGTCGTATATAGCATCAGTCAATTTCAAGTCTTAAAGCAGCGCTGGTACCTTATTAAAAACTGACTGCAAGAATGCAGGTGATAAAAAAATAATTTTTGTTAGTTTTTTAGCATCATGTTGCTTTTTTTATGTTGCTTGTACATGACAAGACTTAGTTTTATGAGAGTAAATAGCCAAATTTGCTTTAAACATTCACCCTGTACAGTAAAACATTTCCGTATCTCTATAGAACAAGAACTGTCACAGCTTACAAAATAAGCATATGCTATGACATACAGCATTTACTTCCGACAACCCATTAAAAAGAAACAACAGAGATACAGGTAATTAAAGAAGTTAGAAGAACAGATATATTCTTGTATGAAGAGAGATGTAAAGACTGAAACTGTTCCAACATGAGATGCTGAAGAGAGGACACACTAAAGATACACGAAATAAAAAATATACTTTGATCCAGTTTTGGGGATAAGTTATCCACCCTGTGTGTGGAAGGACTAGATGTGGGTAGACTTGTTTTGGATGGTTTTTGACCTGCAGCCTTGTCATTGTATTTTCTTCATGTTCCTGAATATTTAACACATGGCTATATAATCTTATGTTTGAGCTGTGGCTAACTCAGAAGAATGACACAAACAATGCAGGGTTTTTTTCTACACTCTAAAATATCAGGCAAAGTGGGCTACTGGGAGAGATGACACAGCACAAACTTCTCTCGGCATAAACTGTGTATTTTGCTCACACACTCAGATTTGTGCTGATCACCCGGAAAAAGGATAGGAAAATTTCCCCCCAAACTTAAACAAGGCAGTAGAGATCCTTATGGCAAAAGCGAGTGGATGTGCATATGTGACAAAGGGAGAGTTCACCTTTACAAAAATTGTGCATATGGTAACCTTGGTGGAATTAATTGCAAAAATCTCACCTGCTCAAAATGTGTATTCATCTCTCTTCTTGTGTATTTATGCCATATACTCATCTTTTAGAGTGAGATATTGTCTTTAATCAACATTTATGGCTTATTACAAAGTCCTTTGGTGATTTCTTTAGGAACCTCACAATACAAAATAAACAAGCCGAGATTTTTGTGTACAATATGTAATTATCCTAAGGAACACACTTCCATAAGGTAAACTGAAAGGGTCCTGCATGGGCAAAGAACATTTATATAAATATGAAATATTTCCTTACCAGTAAAAAGAAGGTTTTAAATTAAAAGGTTTGGAACTTCATTGCATGGCTGTGATTCAATGTTTATGCTGTCTTCCACCCTAAAGGGCTTAAGAAAACACTTTACTTGTCTAGAATATTTCATAACTGCCCATAGTTTCACTTTGAAGTTCCTGCTATTGGTCAATATCAGATCCTAAAACACAACTGAACAGACCACAGCTCTACTTGTTCTTACACAGCACTGTGGTTTAAAGACAGATAAATTCTGAAGGACCTCAGTAAATCAGAGCTTTAACATTAAAAACAGTAAAAAAAATAGAATTATAAAATAAAAATAATTCAAATCAGAGTGAAATAGCAGAAAAAAACTTTAGATTTTCGCAAGGATTTATTTAGACCTAATCCCAGCGTTTTTTCTTTTTATATAGTTGTTCTAATATTTATATTTTGTTATTTTAAAATAACTCATAGATGACTAATTGGGATTTACTTTACATGTAAAGAGTAATAACAATCTAAATTCTAAAAAGCTGGAAAGAATTCTTAGACTGTTCTGTCCATATACTCATAAGAACTATGGTGATCCAGCAACAGGCTATTCCTATCCATTCACACTTTCTGGAGAAAAGGGAAGAAACTGGAAGGGGTGAATTTTATCCTTATCCAGCAACAGCCTCAATGAAAAAAAATCAAAAGCAAAAAACCTCAAAACTCCTCTAGGGGAAGAGACAGGAAGAGGATGCAGCCCAGTTCCTTCTGATATGCCATGAAGTTGCAGCGTCTAGCAGGCAGTGTGTACACAGTAGCAAACTCTCAGACCAAACTACAGTGACCCAGGGAAATGTTTTTGGGAAACTATGCCATCAGCACTTTTGTTTACTCTCCAATGGTTTCCTTTATTCTTTTTATTTTTCTTTTTTTTTTCCCTTTTTTTTTTTCCTTTTTTTTTTTTATTTTTTTAAGGGTTCTGCTGGTGGACTTTTTATATCTTTGTTACAGCAAGAAAATATCACAACAAAAGAATACTGAAGATGACTGCTATAATTCAAGGGTTAGGAAGAAATTCAGCTGTGCAAACTGCACATTCACAGCATTTTTGAAAGAATCTTAGGTTGTTTACTGCAGTATCTGTGAATCCTTGCTTTCAGAAATTTACTTATGAATCATTTAAATGATCTGCTGAAAATTATGTACTGTAATTTCATTCTTTCCCCCACAAAGAAAGAAATATGTCTTTCAATAATGTCTCTATAGCGCTATGTGCTTCCAGAACATCCTTAAATGTAAAGCAATAAGAATCGATGCTTACACAAATGAAAAAAAGTCATATTTGAACTTGTAATGTATGGTCAGTTTTACACTAGAACAATAAAATGAGTATTCGCAGACAAGTGAACACTAAATGTTCAAACACGCAACAGAACAATAAATTTCTGAAACATTCTGTGCATAACAACTTCTTATTTGCACATAACTACTTTGAAGTTACACCACAGTGTGATGGGTTTGCCCTTGGCTGGGGGCCAAACCACACACCCACTCACGCAGCTTAACCCAGGACACACAGGCTTCTATTTTGAAAATTATTACCAAGTACAGCACGTAATAGCCTTCTAACAAAATGATTTATGGTTCTTAATTCCTGCCTCTTCCTTTCAACCAAACAAACAAGGAAAAGCTTGCTGAACCAGTAATGATATTGGTTAAGAGAACAATTCCACTATAAACAATGCAAATAAAGAACTAAATAGATACTTGTTATGGAAATGAAAGAAAAATACTGTCTGATTTCTGAAATTACAGGCAAGATCCTGCAGTTTCTTATACTTAAGTATCTGAGTATTTCCGAAATGAAGTAAAAATGAATATTCACTTTGCAGAATCAAAGCCTGAGAATTTGAGAGCTACTTTTTTTTTTTGTTGTTGTTGTTGCCAGTTATTCTCCCATGGTACATACACCTTTAGAAAAGCCCAAACCATAAGTAAGTGATACTAAGAACTACATTTACAAATAATACATAGTTAGATAACTGTGGAAGCCTCTACTTCAATTTATTAAGCACTATTTTGAGGTGAATATTAGTAGATTCAAACTTCTAGCTCAAAGAAGTTTGTATGCCTGTATTAACCCGTTTAATGTATATCTGTGCAAGGAAGCTGATAATCTGCTGATAATAATAAGTTAAATACTCCTGATGAGGAATATAAATAACAAGAGTTTCAATTTGTCAACTGGACACTGTATTTATATTTGAATATTTGGAGATCACTGATCTTGTACTTGTTATTAATGTAACAACTCCAATAATTCTAATTTTTTTACAGAATGAATTTGAAAATTCCTTGATGATCTCACCTGTAAGCAGATTCTTAGCAGTGCTCTGTGATTTCTGCATTTCATTTGATTTGAAAGTGAGGTCTTCCTGCATAATCTTCAGCTCTTGATTGGTAACAGATGAAATTTGTTTCATATGATTCAAATTCTGTGTGTTACCAATAACAATAATGAGAACATGCTGTATCTTTGAAACAACAAATGGTAACTGGACAAGTAAAAAACTCTCCTGTCCTAGTACACTGTCTATTATTTGGCTTTTCTACCACAAAGACTGAAAATATTGGAAACTGTCTGACGTGATTTAAATGTTTAAGACTCTAATTCTGCCAGCTTTTGATAAAAGATGTACTTACTGCAGTAAGTATAAATTGTATTGCTATATCAGTATCTTCTAAAGTAAATGGCATTGCCTAAAATATACCTTATGGTATACCATACTGAAAGTGTTAGAAGACAATTAAAGTGATGATATAATCAAAGCATTACTAAGCTGAAAGATTTCTATACGAAAAAATTCCATGGAAACAAAAAAAGTTAAAAGAAAAAATGTTTTGAAAGTGCAAAAAAAAAAAAAAAAAAAAAAGGACTGCAAATGGGAACAATTTCTGAAGTGTTTACATTAAATATTACACAGCAGGGTATTCCAGACATAATTTTAGTAGACCAGAGAGACATTGGAATATTGTCAGTTACTTAATAGTAGTGACAGAATACCCATGAACTGAGATTTGCAGACTTCAGGTAAACAAAATACTGGATTAGTTTTATTTGCAGTATTCTGATATTTTTATCATTAATAGAATCATGTTCATTATAGCAATGATGATGAGTTACAGCAGTTATGCAAACATTCCTTTTATTCTGGTCACAAGTATTATCTAATATTCAAAACTCCTTCCCCAGAAATAAAGAGAAATTAAACAAATATCTTTCTTTTGTTTTTTTTTTAACTACAGCTGTACATGGTTTAATGTTTAATCCTCTTAAGGATTAATTACACTGATAGTGACTGGATCATATATTAAAAACACCATTCCTCTTTATCCATTCATTCTCCTGTTCCATGCTTCTAAATTCCTAGCTTGCCACAGGAGAGAAATGCCCTTACCCTGCTTGAGTGCTCCAGGAGAGCAACAATGTTGGCTTCTATTTGGGCCTTTCGTTCCAATTCCTGATTCTTCACCTCTTCAAAAGTCTCAAGAAAATCTAGAAAACAACAAACATGATAAAGAAGGCTGCTATTTGCATGGGTACAGCACACGCCCTTGCTATTTCCAGTCAAAATTTTGTATGAAATTGGTAAGCTGTACAATTTCAGACAGGTTACTTTGAGATTAATAGTTCATTTAAGAGACAGGTGGTAGAGTCCTTGAAACTTGTCAACTTACGGGCTGGAATGAAAAAGAGGACAATTTTTCCAGAGACACATCTTTGACTGACTAATGACATGAGGTCACCACCTTCTTGGATACTGTTCAGGTCAGGGCTGCCACCCAATGAGAAAGGAGTTTCATCACCATCGTTTCTGACACCTTTCTGAATGTTTGTCCTAGCACCTGTTGGTCTTGGTTTTTCTGTAAGCTATCAAAATGGGCTATTAAATAAAGCAAACATGTGACTTCACTATCTCAAATGGCCTGGACTAAACTCCAAACACCGCTAAGGACCTGAGACCAATGTTCACTTGGTATCATCTCTTTCTTTCTGAATGATGTCCTTTTGCTACATCTCTAACTAATGTTCATTCTAGTAAGTGTCCAACTGAATCTGACAACACAGTTGAATGGTGGTATGTACTCTGTATTTGTGCCCTAGGCATACTACATTGTATTCTTGTGGACAGCCATATGGAAAAAAGGTGCTGGACACACCACATGAAAGTCAGAGGTCCGCTAAGGTGCCACCCAAGGCTATAAATTATGATAATCCCTTTCCTGCTGGGTCTTCTCCTGAAACATGGCTTATATACACAGGAGCACCCAGGAAACTAAAATTTTTGCAAACTTTATAGCTAGATGAAAAAGGGAAGAAGTGCTTGTTTGAGCAAGAAGGATTAGATAATAGTAAATTCAAGATGGATTATTTGGGAAGAGAGAAAGAAGACAGGTGGAACAACTCAATGGAAATACTGAAAAGTCCTGAAGGGATGAGGATCAACTAGAGAATTGTGGATCTCAGAGCATCCAGGATTTTTTAAAGATACCTAATTTTTAAAATTCTTTACTAATAAAACGTTTATGGATAAGAAAACTATTGTAATATCTGACATCATCTGCAATGCTGTCCATGAAAGTGTTAACAGAGATGCTTCACAGATTACAGCTTCTAAAGCTTTTGGAGGGAAAAATGTGCATTATTGGAGACAGGGGACAATACTGAGATACTACAAAGATTCTTTCTGAAGCAGGGACTTCAGGATGAAAGACACTTGGAATCCTGAGAGGTCAATGAATGGCATTAGACAACATATTTCTAATGTGCACAGCTGGTTGCTAAAAATAATGACTATTTCTGATGCAGATTCAGTTGGCTCAAAAAGCTGAAATAAAGTTTCAGTCCACCTGAAACTGACCAGTAACTGTAGAGAACAGTACTTGGCAAGAATGTAAGAAAGCTTATCTTTTGCTAACACTGCAACACTGCTGTGAACTAGTAACCAGAAACATAGTTTAAACCAAAGCTTAAACAGCCTGCAATTGAAAAAAAGCTAGTCAAGTCCGAACTGCTGAATAAGACCACTGCCAGGCCTGTTTTTTTCCAGCACCCAGGCCACAAATCATGAAGCTATCCTTAGAAAGGGATGTTTTATTTTCTCTCTGTGATGTTCTTTTCCTTCAGAATTAACTTGTCTTCTTTTATCTTAAAGATAGCACAATTATACTTTAATAAGATGAGTAACAACGACAGCTCCAAAACCAGTTGCTTCCTCCAAGGGCACTTACTGGGTATTTCATACAATCTGTTGTTGTGAAATACAGACAGGAACTTTCTACACTAAAAAAATATCTGACCACAACAGAACTAAGGGAGAAGCAGTAAGGGAAGTATTTAAATTCTTGGTTAATGTTTTGTGTTTTAAACATTTAAGCTGTTCTTTCCTTTCATTGTTTAAAATGTTAAAGTGGGTCATTTTTACAAAGAGAATCACTCAGGTAACCTAACACAAAACTTTCAATCACATTTAACTCTTAAGTCTCTAGCAGTAAGCAAAGGCTTCATTAACATCTGTCTCTTGTTGGGGTCTGTGCCAATTCTTTTTGACATAACAGATGATGACATGGACTTTGGTACATCTTAGCAAGAGGTCTTAAATAAGTTGATTGCAATATCTTGATAAACCTATTTATTTGCTTCCAAGGAAGCTGTAGGCAATGACGATATTGAATCTTTCAAAGCAGATATGCAGGGAAAGCAGAAGAGTGAAATAAAAGCACCTTCATGAAAGAAAAGCATTGTCACAGATTCATACATATGAAATGAGAACAAAACTTTACATACACAGATATATAATTTTATAAAACTGAGCCTCACAGAGTTTAATTAGGACTTAAGAATCGTAACTATATGATTTGACTGGTGTTCTTCTCCTTTGGCATTCTGGACCTTTTTAGTTTTGTTGGGGTTTTTTTTTTTTTTTTTTTTTCCCCAAACCTTCTTAGAATTTAATTAGAAACATTAAGTGAGGTCTGTATTTACATTTCATCTCACTGTCTTTCTGCAAGCACCTCTCCTTTTCATCACACTTGTCTGACTGACTTTCTTTCATTTGAGTGCTATGTGTTTCACAGACTCATAAAAAAGTGAATGGAAGAGACTGCAAGTGGTCATCTAACTAATTCACTTGCTCCAAGACAAAAACAACTGTATGTCAATAATTCAGATGTTTGTCTATACTCTTCTTACACACAGCTCATGATAGATATTCTACAATCTTGCTGAACAATCTGTTCCAATGCTTGGTGAGTTTTAATGTTAGGAAGTTTTTTCTAATATCCAACCGAAAATCTTTCTGCAGCTATTGAGCCTATAAGCAGGAGGGGAGTGAGTATTTACAGGGGTTGATAGTGATAGTCTTAGTTTTAAACTAAGAGAAGATTTAGGTTAGATATTAGGAGGAAATTTTTCACTGAGAGGGTGGTGAGGCACTGGAACAGGTTGCCCAGAGAGGTTGTGGATGCCCCATCCCTGGAGGCATTCAAGGCCAGGCTGGATGGGGCCCTGGGCAGCCTGCTCTAGTGATTGGCAACCCTGCCCACAGCAGGGGGGTTGAAACTAGATGATCTTTAAGGTCCTTTTCAACCCAGGCCATTCTATGATTCTATTGGTGTATTACTCCATTTCTATCCTCCATATATATGCACAGATAGATTATTCACTTATTATTTGAAACAGCCTTTTCACACATTTGACAACTACAATAAATTCTCTAAAATAAAAGACTCATTATTTAATATTTCCTTGCAGGTCACGCTTCCCACATCCCCCACCAGCCTCTCTTCAGGATTGCCAACCTCTTTCTTTATGTGCAGAACTAGAGACAATACTCCAACTGAAGCCTTCCTCAATGCACAGGGAACAAGGTTACTTTGTGTGTCTGACAAGTTACACTCCTGTGTATACCTACTGCCATGGTATTTTCTCTTCCATGTTAGTGTGATACTGCTAAGCCATGTTCACTTTGTCTTTCACTGTAACTCTGAGGCACACCACTGACCTATGCCTAATGAACTGCTCCCTATTCTGCATTTTTGCTGTTGATTACTCTGCCCAAGTGTACAAACTTGCACTTATTAATTTTCTAACATTTTGTCCTTCCTTTGTAGTCTGCCATAAGTATTTTAAATTCTAACCCTGTCCTCCAACACAATTTCAGGTTGTGCAATGTAGCATTTTCTGTGGAACTATGTATTTACTCTCTCCTATCATCCAACTGATTAATAAAAAGGTTGACTAACCAGAACATCCAACACACTGCAAAACTCTGCTCAATACATCCTTCCATCTTGTCAGTGAATCCTTCATAAATAACAATTTTTTAATCAAATGCACAGTACAGGTTAATAATGGGCAATATTTCCCTAGCTTGCTTCTACGAACACCAGGAAACAGCAGTAGAAGATGTACTGAAGTCAAAGTACACATCATCTGCTGCTCCTCCCTTAGTCTGCAATATTCTTCTGTCAAAAAAAGAAATTAGTTGTTTGTTCCTGACCAATCAATACTAGTGTTATTCAAATTCCTGTTTCTGTAATGTTTACAAATTGTTTGCTTGCTTATTTTTTCCGCGATCTTTCTGGAAATTTATACTAAGCTGAATGGTCTATACTTCTCTGGCTCCTCTTCTTCAAGACAGCTACCATATTTGCTCTTTTCCCATCTTTAAGACTCCTGCATGTTCCCCCTAATTTCTCAGTTAAAATCCAAAAGCTCTGGAACTGCATCAATATCCTCTGATAAGGGCAGAAGCAGAACGAAAACCCAAAAAGTCAGAAAGACCGTGAGCTTTTGTCCTTCTGCTTCTCAGAAAATCAGGTAATTTGAAAATGCAGAAACTCTCTTAAGTACGTTCTTATCCATCTTTCCTTATTGTCTGTTGAGACCTTTCTTTCAGTATCATGCTATCCATAAGTTACAGTAAACATCTTCAAAGAACACTGTTACAAAAAGGTGTTATATACTTTGGCCTTCATGGCATACTTATTCATAATTTTCCCCTTTTGCTGAGTAACAGAACAACTTTTTTTGTAAGCTGCCTACTACAGTATTCGAGCAATAGGGTATATTTTAAAAACAGTTCTGTTTTAATCTTCTGTTAGTTTCTAGTGAGGTCTCTACAACATTAGAACCTTTTAATACGGAAGAAAGCTCTAGTAGCATTCATCTTGAATAAACAGATATGAGAAGCCTTAATTTTAAAGAACTAAGTGATGTCTACGCTTGTCTTTTTTCAAGTTCTGCTTTTAATCAGACCTGAACAGCTGGTTTTATATAACTTTAATTTAAATTAATTTAAAAATTAATTTCAACCTTGCTTTCATAAAATAAAACAGTGTTCCTAAGACCCTTAATTTATGATGAAAAGCCTTGAAAGATGCTCCAAATATTTGTGACTGTCCTGTAAGTCTTAAGATAGCAATTGTCTTGTCCTGAGGTAGATCACAGAAACTTTATGTAAAGATTAGGACATAGATTCTTTTCAGCTCTAAATTAACTGAGTGTTAACAATACAAGAAAACCTGTGTTTTAGTGGAATTAGGTCTAATTAAGGTATATGAGACAACTTACTGTCCATGCTTTCTTCCTTCTTCTTCAGCTCCTTGTATTTCCAATTTTCCTCTCCTGCAAGAGACACAACATTGATTTCGCTTTATATTGTCTCTGTCCTCAATTCCTTCAGGCAGGCAAAATGTCAGTTTTAAAAATGAGAATTCTACATTCCTAGAAACTACAGGACTCATCCCATGCCATTTAATGTAGTCACTTCAACTGACTAGGTCATATACACTTTTATATTAAAAAAAAAAAAAAGATAATTAGCTTAATAAATCAGAATCAATGCAATTTTTAGAACCTTTTAGAGGGTAGGATTTCTAATAAATAAGATTGGGATAAATACTTGGTTTGAACAAAGTAAGTTCACAGGATTTTTCTGGTGAATTTCAATAACAGAGAACAAATGCTTTTGTCTGCCTGGGCATCATGATCAGTTAAAATTTTCTGCAGGTCTGTTTAACATATGGGCCATTTCAATGGCACTTTCATGTATTTAGAATGGACTTCCATAAGGATATGCAGCTTGTAAGCAGAAGTGTCACAATCTTGGGGAAATAAACAGGAAAACTGTACAAGCAATGGTATAGGAAAATAAAATGCAAAGAAAGCTTTCTACAATTAAGTTTAAAAGAACATTTCCATACACATTCTTTGTAGTGGTATTGGGAGCAATGGAGAGCAACATACAATACATAATTTGCTCCATCTTTAAATCCAACTATGACTATAAATAGTTCTTAAATAAAATGTACTAGTAAAGGCGGAGACCTGATATATTTGTCACAAGTTTCAAGAAGATGAGACAATTCAGCTCCAAAGAATAATTTTAAGTTTCAAACTTCTAAATTTTTAATTATTTGAGTCTTGGTCATTGATTAATATTCAGCATAATCTTGCAGCTTTAAAGAATACAAAGAAAAAGAATGAAGCAGATACAGATATAACTGAGCAAGCAAATTTCTCCAGGTCTTTCTACTTGTCCAGCCCCATGCTTTCCTTTTCATCTAGTATATACAAACAATAAGAACACTCACAGGCCCCAAGGGACTGTGATTCTGCTTGAGCTTCCTTGCAGCTGTGGCTTTGTTCCTTGCTCGACACTCTCCTTCATTTTGCAAGGCAAGTCTCTGATGCTTAATAACTCAATCTGTTCTCCTTTTAAAAAGTCTAGTTACAGTGAACCAAGAAACAGAGGGCAATATGATTTGCCAAGTGTTTAAAGAAAAAAAATATTTTAAATAAAGACCAGAACCTTTAAAATGTCTTTACAGATAATTTTTCTTTAAAATATGGCATTATTACATCAGTATCTTAGCCTCTCATGCCATTTATCACAGAATCATATCATAGAATCATTAAGGTGGAAAAAGACCTCAAGGATCATCAAGTCCAACCGTCAACCCAACACCACCTAACTCACTAAACCATGTCCCTAAGCACCACATCTACACGTTTCTTGAACACCTCCAGGGATGGTGACTCCACCACTTCCCTGGGCAGCCTGTTCCAATGCCTGATCACTCTTTCAGTGAAGACATTTTTTCTAATATCCTGCCTAACCCTCCCCTGGTGCAACCTGAGGCCGTTTCCTCTTGTCCTATCACTTCTTACTTTAGAGAAGAGGCCAGTACCCACCTCACTACACCCTCCTTTCAGGTAGTTGTAGAAAGTGATAAGGTCTCCTCTCAGCCTCCTCTTCTCTAGACTAAACAACCCCAGTTCCCTCAGCTGCTCCTCATAAGACCTGTGCTCCAGACCCTTCACCAGCTTCGTTGCCCTTCTCTGGACCTGCTCCACACCTGAAAGTCCTTCTTGTGGTGAGGGGCCCAAAACTGAACACAGGATTCAAGGTGCAGCCTCACCAGTGCCGAGTACAGGGGCACAATCACTGCCCTAGTCCTGCTGGCCACACTATTTCTGATACAGGCCAGGATGCCGTTATGAAGTGTTAAGTCTATTCCATGATGAGTTAATGTTGATTTTGACTAATCAGTTAAAGGTAACTGCTAATAGATGGAATATATAATAAGTAAATTTTTTACTCATTTAGATTTTCTTAAGTGAAAACTAGAAATAATTATTTCTATTTATGGTCTGTTTATTTTGTTCTTACTGCTCAAAAATGTTCCTAGCACTGAAACAGTAATCCTTAAACATTAAAAAAATTCTTAGCTGTAACTTTTTTTTTCCCCCGGCTATTTTACCTTAAATTTAACTGAAATATTTTAGGAGCTAAAGTTTTGGGAATGCTTTCGCATAAGCAGTTTAAATACTGAGCCACAAGTAAGCTAACTTGGGAAGGAGGAAGGATAAGAATCTCAAGGACACACCAAGATGCTGATTTAGGGCAGAAGTACGAAAGGCCCTCTGGGATGCTCTCTCCATTTGCTAGAGAATAGGATGTCAGGAGTATATATTCCTGTGTCTTTAAGCTACTCCTTATGAATATCTTCTTTATTCCCTCTATGTTATACCAGCAGGTGTTATTCCCTCTATATTATACCAGAAGGTAATTTTATTCTGAACATCCTGACTGTTCCTGATACGTTGACAGACAGCATGTGCTTTTTCCTATTTTCCTACATATGCTTTTCAATGCTCTTCTTCAACACAGGTCTTTTTCTAAAACAGTAAAAGACATACAATCCAGCAGTGAATGATTGTGTGTGTAAACCTAACAATAAAATGCAAAAAGAAACTAACTTCTTACCTTCTGCATTTCTCCAAAGATACCAAAAAAAAAAAAAAAAAAAAAAGTTGGAAGCCAAGAAAAAGGGAATAATTAGAGCAGAATAGTAAAGTTGACAATGATATTATCTGGAAGCAAGAAAGCTAATAAAGCAGTCTCAATAAATTATTTGCATAAAAATAATGAAATATCTGGAGAGATATGAAATATTCTGTAATGCAAAAGATGAGAAACAGAGGTATCAAACATTTGTTTAGGGTCAATTTTGAAATATTTGTTCACCTTGAAGAAATTTACAGATAAATTTTACACTGATCACCCAAGAAAAGGTATAAAGGATGTAAAAACATTAATTCATCAGTCCTATAGAATTTAAATAACTTGTCACAAAGTTTTCCAGAATGTATGTACATATATATTTAGCTCCTATCTAAACAAGATTCCTTATAATTAGAAGAAGGTTTTCCATGGGATGAATTCCCATTTTAAGGAGAATCTTCCACAGCTGTTGAGGGCCTATGCTCAAACTAAGTTACTTCTTGCAGAACCATAATTTCCAGTGCTAGGACATATCCCAACCTAACCTAACCTAATGTACTAAAGCAGGTGTTTGCTGGAGTTAAGTTTCTAAGCTAATGCCATTTCTAGGCAGCTCATGAACTCTTCTTGCAAAGATCAACCCAAGAAGTTTCAAAGACAGATAAAATAGTACAGAATTTTGACTGCTTTACACATTATTATTAAACTTTCTCAATTCCACATTTACTGACAGTGTATCAAATCACGTAAAAGGTAAAATAAAAAAAGAACTTTTCTAAAGCTGAGCTGCTTCTGCAATGCTGCAGGAGAAACTTCTATACCTCAAGTAATCCTAAAAATAACATTGGGACAGAAAACCAGACAGCTGTACTATTATTTTGCAGGGTACTTTTACTAGTCAATATGAACGTGATGAATGTGCCACTAAAGGTGAGCACTCTACATTTCTCACATCAGAAGAGAGAAGCCTGCACCCCTAGACACAAAACCTTCTTCTGATGGTGAATAATGGACATTTGCATAAGCCTAAAAGTTTCAAGCAACTAATGGCTATAACAATATGTGTTATAACACAAAGAGATGCAGCTGTGCATAGTCTGCTACAACTCTAGTCATATTACCTTGATGATTCTCCAGATCCATATCAAGTCGTTGAATGACCTTTTTAAAATGGTTTGTTTTTTCTTTTACTTCTGTCAGCCTGACAAATGAATAATGAAGTCCAAGGTTTAAAAGGTGTTGTGAAATACATATTTTTTAGCCAAAAATGCACAGAAAAATCAAGAATAAAAATAGCAAACCTAATTTTATCAAAACTAAAAGAATATCAGGATGATTGCTGTTATTATAAAAGGTATATGTAAAGCACTTGTCACTTTAATACCTTTATCTATTAAATACAAGTACTGATGCTCTTTTTTATTAAAAAGAGTTTTTGTTGAGTCATCAGTAGTTTTGACTTAGTTGCCTAAGTCCCTCTGCTGTAAGGGTCCCTCTGCTGGTTGCTATACAGCTTTGCATAGGTACAGCACAATTGCTAAAATGCAACAAGGATCTGCATTCCTTAAAAATTACTCACCTGTTCACTAAACTCCATTAAGAAATTGCCAAGTAAAACACTGTATTACATAATCAGTCAAAGTGAGAAAGAAAATGACCTTAAAAACGTTTCTATGTAAATTCTCAAATATAATTCTCTGTTATTGTTTCTTTCAAAAAATTCTGTTAAGCAACTTATTATCCAATCAAAGGTGTCAATGCATTAAAAATTAACCAATGATTACAGTTGGGAATACTGCTTAAAATAATTTAGAATTGTTTCTAGGATATTTCAGGAATTATCTCAATTTTTCTGTACAGAGAGAGAAATCAAATGTCTCAAAATCACAGAAATATTGTACTGTTTTATACTCTCCCTAATACACTACTATTTATTACAACATTTACTAGAGTTTCTGGAAAATCTTCATAAAGGTCCAGTACCCAAGAATCAAGAAACAATGCCCTGTTACTCTTTAGCGTTAAACTTTCTGTAAGCAACTTTGTAACTCTTAGGTTTTAAGAACACATAAAAAACTCTTAAAAATGTGACTGCAGGGTAATGCAGGCTCAACTTCACAGATGTCCCAGCCTTAATGAAGTTTATATTGGTGCTATCACCAATTTATATTCTCAAGGGATGTTAATAAGGATAGGAAATATCTTACTATGCAGATCTAAATGTCCTATCACTATAGAAGTTTTTCAGCTGAAACAGAAGGATATCTTCTGTGCTCTTTGGAAGGTTAATACTAGCAGAGGTTCAAAAATATGGTGGTGTTCTAAAAGTCCTTAGAAACACGCGATGGAATTCACCTGTCTTTAGGGTCTAAATGTAACTTGCAGCAACAGTATAATGGGATTACTCACTGTCTTTCCATGCTCGCTATTTCTTGACTATCATTCTTAACCTATAAAAAAGTATAACAACTTTAGTATAGGAAATAAAATCTACAAATTAAAAAAGGAAAATGAAAAAAGATTTCTTAATTCAGTAGACAGGGAATAGAAACTCAGCATAAGAAATCAGAAACTTGCTGTCACATTGTCCAACAACGGTTCTTCACTGAAGTGATATGAGTGTTATGTCTTCCAAATGTTCTCCTGCTTTCTCAATACACATTTAAAAATCAGACACACTTACCAGTGTTGTTCAGTCTAGCAACCCACTGGATTAGTACATCTGCTCAGTTCCCCACAAGGATACTGTCTGGACTTATGTTACAGAACTGTTCAATACGAACAGTTTTCCCATACCAACATGACTGATGAATTGTCATGAGTCAACCAGCTGAAAAGCTGACTGTGCCAATTTTGTTTTGGCTGAACCCGAAACATCCCATCCAGTCAATTCATTAACTCTTCTTAATTTCAGATGATTTGTGCTGCTTAAAGAGCAAGATTCAAACACAAGTATTTTCAAATATTATCAACCCTTAAGATACCAATTTACAGAATCTTTTACATGATAACATTTTATGTTCTTGCCTGCTTTAGTAACCTCTTTCGTTCCTCCTCTGGAGACTCCATGTTCTTATCCTCAGCAATCATGTGATCTCGACGTTCCTCAAGCTCATGGAGCTTTTCATACAGCTGCACAGCCTTCTCTCTCACCTGGGAATGTGCTATTTCCTGTTGGGAAAGGCAAACACCTACCAGCTGTTTTCAGATGTCAAGAAAGCATTGCAGAAATTGTGCTTTAGTTAAGCAAGATTTATATACACATTGAAAGTGAAGCTTATTACCTACAAACTGTACAAAGACAGCATAAACAATAAACTTTACAATCCATATTCTCAGTACTGCATTTTCTGGAATGTAATATCCCAGTCAGCTACTTCCTGCTTTATGAGTTCATCCTCAGGGCAATTTTCTGAGTAGATTTACTATTTCTTCATGTCTAGGGGAATCACAAACCATTTACAGTATTCAAAAGACCTGGAAAAATGTCTAGTAGTATTTGAAAATTTTACTTTCTGAATATATTCATGACTATTTTTCAGCTCATAGATCCTTTTATCCATGAAAGGCCCAATATGTGAAAATCCTGTTCCATCTAGCAGTATGACAGTGTATTAGAAGCACATGTTTATGTATGTATGTGGGACAAAAAATATCTTAGTAGGTACCACTTTGTGCTTCAAATGACAGTTGCTTTTGAAATGGATTGTGGAACAAGAAAATAACTCTCACACATCCTGAAAGGTGAAAACTTATTGAAAAATTAGGTCTCACAAATCTTTAAGAAGGATGCGAATGATAGTTTCACGTTTCTCTTCAGAGCGTACTTCCAAATCAATAAAATGTCACACAAAACATTGAAACCACATGAGTAACTAAAGCTAGGAAACCTCACTATTCCTATCAAAATTTTGTACTAGTGTCCTGGGTTAAGCTGAGACAGAGTTAACTTTCTTCATAATAGCCAGCAAGAGGCTGTGTTTTGGATTTGTGCTCAGAAGAAAGCTGATAAAAAGTGGTGTTTATGCGGCTGCCAAGGTCTTTCAGCCTCTCTGTCTGTCTGCAAACAGGAGAAGCTGTGAGGGAGCACAGCCCCAGATACTAGCCCAGGATTTGATCTTAGGTTCGGGATTGAGATCCAAAGTGGCCAATAATCTATTCCATAACATACACGTCATGCCCAGTATATAGGTGAGGACCCTCCGGAAGATCGGCCCCTTTTTGGTTCTGGATCTCTTTTGCTCCTGGTCATCTTGGTCCAGGTGGTTGCTCTCCCAAGGCCTTCCCACCCCCACCCCGGTAAGCTCTCGTTCTGGGATGCTCGGACTGTTATCTCCGTTCCCTGAGTGTGGTTTCGAGACTCTCCCTGCTCCAGGATCGTTAGCCGGGAACAGGCTGAGCCTTGGTCATTGGCGGGGGGGGGGGGGGCAGTATCACTGTGTATCACTCATTTGTATACTTGTGTATAGGATTATTTTCCATATTATTGTAGTTTAGTTATTAAATTGTTCTTATCTCAACCCACGAGTCCTTTTTTCCCTTTAGCCCTTTGGGTGAGTGGATGTGTGGTTTGGCTTCCAGCCAAGGGCAAACCCATCACAACTTGGTATCTAGCAAAAACAATTTATACCCCGAACTGATTAGAAATTATTGGTAGAAAACAGAGAGGAAGCTTTGCCTTCCCATTCTACAGCATGATCCTACTGAAAATTTACAGAGAAAGATTACAGGTATTTTTCTACCGTATTATGATTTACAGTAGAATTCAGTGAAGATTGGTACAGACACCACTTGTTATTACACATACAGCTCTTAGAGCCTCCTCCTTGACATTCAGTGCATCCAATTCCT